CTATGGTTGTTCAGTCTAGGGAGAATGGAAACTAATGGTAGCAATTCTAATTTCCAAGAAAAGCAACCTTCAGATGCTTCAAATATTGTTGGTAGGGAGAAGCGTACTGAGAAAGAAGTCTTTATTAATCACGGTATGCCTCTTTCACCAGAATCAACCCCAGCCAGAAAAATAAAAGGAGCTGTTTTTTTTTTTTTAATTACGAAAACCAAATTTAATTTCCTGGCCAATAATGAGTCTAGTGTCGGTACAGGTTGGTATAAGTGTGGCCAAACCTTATAACAGAACTCTTTCTTTTTTCCCAAGTCTTTCTCTGAATTGTGGTGTGAATAAGAGTGGATGTTTCAATTGGTGTTATTAATGTGGTGCATGATATATGATATTTTAGAAGCATGAAAGGTAATATCTTTCCTCCACACTTGAAAGAAGTCATTATATCAATTAGTTGAAGAATTTTATTCAGTAAATTATTAATATCATCGAGATTCAGACACTGACTGCTGCTTGAAAGTTATCTAATCTACTTTTGGGTACTCTATGACTTGTTTTTCTTTCTTTCTCCCCTTGGATGATAAGAATCTTGTGAAGTAGTATCTTATTCTATCAATAACATGGATGACCTTACGGTGCAGCTGAGATAGCTTGGCATGAGAGGAGAAGAGAATGGGTTGGTGATGAGTCTCAGAAATCGAGAAGAGCGCCAAGAGAACCAATTATGAGGTACATTTTTGTACACTTACTGTCACACAGATGGTCTAGATACTAATAGGCTGCATCACTTCTTCTGGTCACTTGTTCACTAGCTCTACCAAAAAGTACTCCTTGTTTATTTGGAGTCCAGGTGAGTAATAAGTTATTAGCCAATAATCTAGGGGAAAAGTGAAGCGTAATAAGTTATTAGCCAATAATCTAGGGGAAAAGTGAAGCAGTCATCTACATTTGTGTCTCTGTGTGTTGACCTGGGAATCCTCTAAACAATGGTGGAACCAGGATTTTTGGAGGGGTAGGCTACCATTGACATAAAAAATATTAGCCGAGTTTTTGTGGAACCAAAAACTAGTACAATATATATTTACACAACTAAGTTTGTGGTCTGAAGTAACCAAGAAAATAAGTCTGTAGTTTTAAAGCTGCATTTTGGGCTTTTTTTGCTTATAAATGGGTGAACTATGTTTTATATGGGCTAAATAGGGGAAGGCTTAAATGTGAAAAAAATATGAATTTATTGAGGTAAAAAAGTTTTGTGCCAAACTTTGCACTGGGCTACAGCCCAGGGGTGCCCACACATGGTACTGCCTTTGATTTTAAATAAGAGAAGGCCACTGGTAGGGGACTTCCCTATCACTAATGTTTTGAAGTGTTGACTACCATGGTCTCATTTGAAGCCTATTTTTGTCTTGCTGTTAACTTTTTTTATTTTTTATTTTCGTAAGCTGTTCTACAATTGAATTCCAAATCTGGCATGGGAGATGCAGTATGCGTTTTTTTTTACATGATTTTATGTAAAGGATGGATCTTGAGGAGATTAAATTAGCATCTCTACTTGACAATATTTGTGCTCTTGAAGAAGCAAAAATGATATTTATTAAAAAAAAAAAAAAAAAAAAAAAAAAAAAAAAAAAAAACTGAAGACAATTCACTTGCATGCTAATATCTGAAATAAATGAATTTGCAATGTAAGTGAAAGAATCATATGCTCCTAGAGTTGCAGTTGGTGGGTGCTAGCAATTTATTGGCTATGTGTGCTTCTGTGATATCCCTCTTGTAGTGGGTGTGCAAATTTTTAGTTCCTGTTCCAGAGGAAAGTAATGAAGGGATCTTCTTTTTCAGCTGGACCACAACGTATGAGGATCTTCTTTTATCTACTGAACCTTTTCAGGAGTCCATACCTTTAGCTGTAAGTTTCCCTGATTAGTTTCCTTCTCTTTCCTTTTTTAGATGGTGTTGATGTGAACAATTTAAATTGGTGGGTTCTGCAGGAGATGGTGGATTTTTTAGTTGACATCTGGCATGAAGAAGGCCTTTATGACTAAGTGATGGATATCCTGTGCTCTTTCTGCACAGTAAGAATTTTGCATAGTTTTGTTTGTGCTTAAAATTTGTCATTCAAGGTAGAGTTGGTTTTCTCGTTCCTGATTGCTTAAACCGTAGTCTTTGCAGTGGAGATATAGATTACATGTAGAGATCCATCAATCTTAGCATATTTCGTAATGACAGCGAAGAATTTGCGTAATCAACTAATCAAATTCTGTATTTCACTTTCGATATTGGATTGGATCATTAACTTTTTACCTTTTGACTACTCTTCTTACTGCAATAATATATGAAAGTTGTGGACTGGAAGTGTAGTGTGATTATAATTGATGTCCTGTGCTACCACCGCCAGTTCTCGTCCCTTCTGTCCCTTCTGTTAATACAAGGTTTCGGGTTTTGGGGTTCAATTCCTACTGCTGGTATAGGTCGTTGAATCCATCTCATTCCAAATGTTATGGTCCACGTGCAGAGCTTCTTATGAAACCAGCTTACAAGAAAATGTGTTCAAGAGCTCATTTGGTATCGATATGACATTACAAATTCCGTTTTCAAATATTTAGGCCCAGCCAGGAATATATTAGTGGAAGTCCTTGAGATCTCGTTTATTATGATAAATGTGTACATTCAAGCGGATCAAACTCCAGCTTACGCGAGTTTTTATTTAAAAAAAATAGTTAAAATTTACTCCATACTTTCAAAAATGTCAGTTTTTATAAAATCTTTTAAATATAACAAAAAACTTACCTAAACACAAATGCCCTTAAAAATTAATATCCAACATAAACTTAAAAAGTTGCAATAATTTTGATCATGATGCTTGATGCCATTTGGGAGTCTTGAAATGCAGTGGTTCTGACTTCTGAGAGGCCTTTCAAGACAACCACAAGTCTCAATGCCACAAATATATTTGTCTGTTATCTTTTTAGTTTTTATTTGCATATCCAAAATGTCTTTCTACTCAATTCCATTCCAATGAAGAAAAATTATTGCTTTACCTTTTAAACAATTAATCATAAGATCTTCATAAAACCAAAACAAATACAATTAGGAGGGCAATCAAATTTTCATTTTCTAGCATTTTCCTTCTCCTTTCTTTTTCCTTCCATAACCATGGCACATAACAAGGTTGGCTGGGGTGTCTTTAACAAGAGACTTTCATGCAACGAGGATTTCACTTTTTGCAATTTTTGACCAATAAAGCAATGACATGTAGGATAATTTTTCCATGTGTCATTACATTATTGATCGACTGGAGATAACATTGTTTTGCTATCCCCATTACAAATTACAATAAAATTTCATCGAAGACACCCATTGCATGAAGTAAGGATTGCTTGATCTTAGTTCATTCCCTCAGACTCAGTTCATTCCCTCTTCTTGTGACAAACTCAATTACAGCTTGAATGGCCCCTTCAACTGATTGCTTGATCTTATCACATATAGCTGATGTGCAACCATGCAGAGTAGCTACAAGCTGCAAGGATTCCTCGAGAATAAGATGAAGTTGTTGGACTATTGGTTTCAAATTCTAAATACATATTCATCAAAAAAGCAATGACCTCGTTCTTTGTCAGTAATATGCACACAGAGGAAATAATTCTGTTGAAAACCTCAGATGGATCTATAGAAACGTCCTGGGAATATGGAAGAACCAAAAGATTTCCGTAGTTTTACATTTGTCCACCCATGGTTTCACATGAAAGATATGATGAGAGAACAGAAGAAAAATCGGATCATCATCAGATACTACTTTTTCGTCTCTTTCTGAAAAGATTTTGTCACAAGGGTAACGTAATTACCACCTTTTAACACAATGACGTTTATGAGAACATGACAGTACATCAATTCAAACATAAAACCTTCCAAATGTAAATCAAAGACGTAATTTTTTAGCTGCATGATGATGATGATATACCTCATCTTGCCAAAACAAGTTGATATTTTTTGGAAAGAGAGGTGCCAGATAGCAAAGAGCCTGCAAGGCAATATATGAACAGACTATTCCAATATAAGGTGAATGGTCGCCAGAGCATTACCAATATCATTTATTTATTTTTCGAAAAGAAATAGCATAAACAATAACGTGAAATTCCTCCAAACCTTCTAATTTAAGACAAAAGCTTAAGAACAGCTCATTGCCAGGCCTAAAAACACGCTAAAAAGGAATATGATTATGATATGTTTACTGTCAAAATTAACAATGTGAAGCCATAACGACAATCAACTACACCAAAGCAAAGCAATCTGAAATTAGGAGACAGGAATGACATAAGTGTTTTACTGAAGGTCTTGCAGAAAAGAAAAACCAAAAAAGTGCCTTGGGGCTTACAACAATCAATTCATACGACATACCTCTGAAAGCACCTTTCGGGCACCTAAATCTTGCTCATCTAGCAAGAATTGTACAGCTTCAACAAGATTATGCCGTTTACTGTGCCAAGCTTCAGATAGCCTCCAAATAAAATCATAAGGATGTCAGATCATGTAAGAGAATCAAAATATAGGCCACTGACAAAGCAACAGAAGGTAAAGAAACCCTGGCAATAGATGTTTTAGAACACATAGCAGACCAAACGTCAAAGGTTGTTCCTTCAATCTGCATTTCTGGTATCAGACATGCACAAAACAAAAGACACCACCAAAATTTTAGTTATTCTTTGAAAACTAATACGGAAAAAGAACACCAACTTCATTTGTACGTTAGATAAATCCTTAGCAATAAGAATAAACACTTGGGGAAGAAAATGATACTCACATTAATAAGGAACACAAATAAATCCTCAGGGAATACCAAACCAACTGTCAGGAAGCAACGTTGAACTTCATTATATGTCTACCCACAAGAAAAAGAAGAACTCAAACATTGAAAAGAAGTAACATAATTATTGACTATTGAAACTGTTAGCCATCGACATCAGCACAAAACCACAGAAACCTATGTGGACAGAGACCATGAAGCAAAAGGCAGGACCACTTTCTGACAGTACCGAAGCATGTAAGAGATTGTGAAGACTGCATGTTGCCAAAAAGGCAATAGCTTGATCTCTTTTATACCTGATTGACAGGAAAAAGAAAAAAGGTAAGACCCTTATTGATGTGTATGGATGTGAAATTAGTGAGGATGTGTGTATCCATGTTTGTCCTTGAAAATATATAAGCACACTACCAGAAAGAAACTATTTTAACAAAGACTTGTACATAAAACATATATGTATACTGCAGAATCATAGACATATACAGCCAGGACGAAGAAGTAATGTATGATAAATCAGTCTTACAATTCCAATATTGTAGGGACAAGTCTGGGTAAAGCCGCCTTCAATTGTGTCCGGGTAATAAGGCCAACCATCTGACCTAATGCTTCTACAGAAGATATGTGAACCCACTAAAAAAAGAGTTTAATCAAAACCAGATCATGTCAATAAAATGATGCAATGGGTTCTCTTATCAAAAAGAGAAAAGAACGAAAAAAGCATGCCATAGATCCAGAGAACCAAAGAAAATAAATAGCAATGGAGATAAACAAAACAGAATTGCAATGGAAAATAGTGAGATATTACAATAAGAAATAGAGCAAAAATACTTTTCAAACCTTTAGATCCTGTGAAGCCGCCCAAACTCTCAACAAAAGCTCAAAAACAGAATTCAGAAATGACGTACAGTTTTTAGTTATTTAGATATAAAATATGAAACGAGCACACGAAAAATAAGGAACCAGGACTGAAGAAAATGTAATACTACGAACAACAAAAACTTGATCACACATGAGGTCACCATCCAGAGGTGATGTCAAGACTATATTGCCAGACAGCCTGACACCAACATTTAAAAGCTGAAAAGAATAGGACAAAGACAGTGAACATGTATAGGGAAAATAATTGAGTAAAATTAGCTTAGTAACCGTTTTACTGCTATAGAGAGAGAGAGAGAGAGAGAGAGAGAGAGAAACGGAAAAAATTACAACTTCCAAATAAACACTTGTTACAAACTTTACGTAAAAACAGGCACATGGAAGAGTCTTGTAATTAATCGAAAATTAATGGCCAGCATCCCTGTGTTTATGAATTCAACGATGCCATGCTTTGGACAGCATTACTCACTCATATATAGAAAACAAAATTCCCTGGGATGATAAAAAAGAAAGAATCAATTCAAGAGACAACCTACTGTTAGCAAGATGTAAATTTGCATTATACTAAAATTCAAGCCATGAGACCACATGACTTCATTTTCAGTATCTGTGTGAGTCTATACTTACACTAAAGAAATACAACTAAATTGTATCACATGTTTTTAGCACTTCAGTTCGCTTCACAATTCTTCAAAAGGACTACACATGCCGCATGCACAGCTTGCAAGTACCACACATTCATTGCCAGCACTGCTGCTGCTGCTGCTAGCCGGTGAGCTGCTGCTAGCCAGTGCTCCTGAAACTGACCCTAAGCTGCTGCTAGCCGTTGCTTCTGAACTGGGGGTTGCTGTTCTGTAGGGAGGGGACTTCTCCAGCTGTTCTGTGGTGAAGGACCTTCTGCGGCTGCTAGCACTACTGCAGCACTGCAGGGGCTCTTGCTGTTTTGAGGCACTGATGGCATTGTTCGGTTGCAGGAGGTTACTTTTGGAACTGAGCTTGAGCTGTTGGACCCATTCTGTTCTTGTGTTTCTTCTGATGTGGGGAGGGGGCTTATCCGGCTGATTTGTGGTGGAAGGACTTGCTGATCTAAGGGGCTGATGGCCTTGTTTGGTAGCTGCTGATTGGAGGTTGCTTCTAGAACTGACCCTGAGCTGTTGGGCCCGTTCTGTATCGATTGAGCTTCCAGGTCTGTTATAGTGTTCAAGGTGAGCAGCCGTTGTGCGGGCGGTCGGGGCAACCCAACACGATATATCCAGCATTGATAAGACCACTGACAAAATTCGTTCCACATCACAGGGAAGTTATTGAACACACACACACACACACACTAAGATATAAGCATAACTAACCAAAATTGAAACAAAACAAAGAATTTCTGGAACTGACACTGAGCTATTGGACCCGTTCTGTATCGGTTGAGCTTCTAGGCCTGTTGTAGTGTTGAGGGTGAGCAGCTGTTGTGCTGGCGGTCGGGGTGACCCAACCCGATTTATCCAGCATTGATAAGACCACTGACAAAATTCATTCCACATCACAGGGAAGTTATTGAACCTGCACACACACAAAGATATAAGCATAACAAATCAAAATTGAAACAAAAAAAAAAAAATTCTGGAACTGACCTTGAGCTGTTGGACCCGTTATGTATCGGTTGAGTTCCAGGCCTGTTGTAGTGTTGAGGGTGAGCAACTATTGTGCGGGCGGTGGGGGCAGCCCAACCCGTTTTATCCAGCATTGATAAGACCATTGACAAAATTCGTTCCTGCACACACACTAAGATATAAGCATAACTAACCAAAATTGAAACAAAACAAAGAATTTACACCAAAACTATTACCTTCAAACGTTGAATTCTGAAAAAAAGCAAGGAAATTGATTTAAAGGCAATGGTAATGCCCAAAAATAGCTAGACTACGGTGAACAACTGTAACATCCCAACCCAAATTATACTTATTCGTAAATTTAATTAATTTCATAAAATATGAAATTTCAATTTTGCTCTCGGGTAGGGGTAATTTGGTAACTTTTTAATTCGGAAGGATTTTGGGGCAGTAACGGGTACCATTACGTAGTTTGTGCCGAGATGAGTCTGTAGACACGTAGTGAACTCAAATCAGAGTTGTAACGAAGAAGTTATGATTTAAGGAAGTCTAGTGGCAAAACCATAAATATTTCGAAGTTGGTGTAATTAAAATAAGATTTCTCTTCTTCTTCTCTCCCTGCGAAACAGCCACCCTTCCCCTCCTCTGTTACTGTTCATCCAAACAGTATTTCTTCGGGTGATTCCGGCAACCAAATTCTTCGAACTTGGTATGTTTTCTCATCCTCTCAATGTGATCTAGCTTCTGGTTGGGTTGTTTAGAATTAATTTCTGCGTTTTGAAACGAATTTGAGCGATTAAAGTTTTGGCCGGTTTCTGCCTCCGATTCCAGCCACTTCCATCAACATTTCGGGATAGGTCCAAGAATAAAAGTTGCTCCACTCAATGTGCTGATCCTATAGTATAAGTCTTGGCCGGTGGTTTGGAGTTTTTTCGATCGCTGGAAATTAATAAGGACACGCGTGGGGTGGCGCATGGACTACTTTTTGGCCGGTCCTTGAGTCCTAAAATCATTCTCATGTTGTCCCGAGCACGAGGTATGCTCGGATATGAATTTGATTACCGTTTGATTGTCGATCAGATATCGCATATTAGGCATTATCCGGGTTCAATATGTTCGGGCCGTTGGATCGACTCTAATTTAGTATATGTTGATTTAGGCATTTCTAGGATCGTGTAGAAATTCGCGGATCATGAATTGGAGCCCAGAATGTCCCGATTCAATAGCTTAAAGTTTATGTTAGACGATAACCGTTCGATCGTTCAAATGTGAGCGATCCGACTGTCCGATCCGAACCAAACTTGCAGGACGTGCATCCTAAACTTTGTAGAACCTATAGGAACTTTCGGATCGTAAAACAGAGGTCTTGGGCCCGGTTGACCAAGTTTGGGTAGTTTGACCCCTCGGTTAACCATGGGTCCTTCGAGGTGGTTTCACCCTTTCGAGGAGTACTAGAACGACCTTGTTAACTTGTCTTGACCGTTATTTGAGTTATTTTGACTATGTTGTGATTTTTGAGATGATTTTATAATATCTATGAAATTCTTAGATTTTGAGTTTGATAATTGAAGTTGTAGAATGGATGAATATGAGATACTTAATTGATGGGTTATGAAAACGAGTCTTGGGTCTTGGTTATGATCATTAGTAAATAAATGGATGTTTGTTTTTAAGTGTACTTCATGCTTCTAACATGGAATTTCTTACATAATGAGTTTTAGATTCTATTATCTTGTCATGGGGGATTTTCAGAGATTGTTTGTTCCTAAGTATTTGAGTAGTATCTTGAATGTTAATAAAAATCGAAATGGTTTACTTGGGCTTGGGAATAGGCATTTCAGTTAATGAGACTTATATTTAATTTGAATGTGGATTATATGCGTTGAGGAATTGTTATTCGCTCTATGAATAAATGATTGGGCAACAGATATATATGAGTTGGGGTACTTTATTGTTTGGCTATGTGAATATGAGATTATATCATGTTAAGTACCCTCCCTTGATTTTGGTACCCACACGTGGCGTTGGATTATCTGGGGTGTGGGCATATATAGTTATGTTATTAGCTTATCACACGTGGCGTTGGATTATCCGGTGTGTAATATAGCAGTCTGCACACATGGAATATGGTTTGGTTGGGCCACACGTGATGTTGGATCTTCTGGCGTGTGTAATAACCCAAACCCAAAATTAATATTTAATTATTAATTTATTTGAGAAAAAGACTAAAATACCCCTAGAATATTTTATTAGTTTAAAAGTTGACTTTTTGACTGGGAAGGAATTTGGGAATTTCAGTTGTACCGTTGCGTAGAGCGTTACGAAACGAGTCCGTAGACACGTAGTGGACTAAAATCGGAGTTGTAACGAAGGATTTACGATCAAAAGAAGTTTAATGGCATAATCGTAAATATTTCAATCTTCAGTTTATATAAACCCAGATTTTCTGGTTTTCGGGGGGCGACCAGCCGACTTTGGGAGCTGTTTTCTCTCAGCCCCGACCTCCGATTCAGGCAAGACCAGTGCCAAACGAACCACCAAACTTCCTTCTTCCAACCACAGCCCTTCGCCGCCTCGATCCGCTGCCATAGTCGCAGGAAACAGCCGCGAAACAGACGGTTCTGGACAGTTTTTGACAAAACTTCCAAGCTTTCGTTCTCCGTCGTCCGGCCACCAAATCGACGAGTGAGGTATGGATTTCTAGCTATTTTTCATGCTCTAGCTGCTGGTTGGATAAGATTTCAGAAATTTCCAGCGTAGATAGCTCGATTTACGAGCTAGGTTTCAGCAGGTTTTTGGGTCACTGTTCCGGCCACTTCCCGCCAGTTTTTGGGGTAGGTCCAAGAACAAAAGTGGCTGCAAATATGGTGTTTTACCTAGGATAGGAGTCTTGAGTCGAGATGTTGAGATTTTTCCAGTGAAGCGTTACTCGCTTTAGGAACCACGCGCTGCCGGCCCGTGGGCGGCACGTGAGCAGCAGGGTTGGGACCACAGTCAGTTCTAGAATAATTTTGTAATCCCACGAGAGCGTAGGATTTCGCGGATCTTAATTCGGATAACGTTTGAACCTCGAACGGATCTCGTCTAGTGTGTGATTTTCGGGTTCAATACGTTTGAACTGTTGGATCGCAGTCAATTTCAAGTATGTTGATCTAGGTAATTCCAGGATCGTATAGTATTTGACGGATCGTAAAACAGAGTCCCGGTTACTCCAGAAATGTCAACCCTAGAGCGAGTTTCACAGATAAACAAACCAGTTAGAGATCAGGAACAAAGGAAAGAACTACGTGTGGCTTGATCCCTCAGGATGGGTACGTAGGCAGTCTACAGTTACCAGGTGCATCCACGAGTTAGGGCCCCAGAGTTTCTGTTTTGCTTCTAGGGGCATTTTGGTCATTTTGACCCCTAGCCACTAGGTGTCAGTTTTAGACAGGTTTCGACCCGGATTTCAAAGTGGAATTAGGGTCAGGTCGTTTCAGCGTGTGTGCTCACTTAGATACTAGTTATTATACCACACGTGGCATTGGATTATTCTGGCGTGTGGTAAAGGATCCGAACATTGTGATCACTGTTACTTTACTACGCGTGGCGTTGGATTCTCCGACGTGTAGTAAAGTAACGAGGAAAGGACAAAGGATTATATTATTATATCGAGAAATTGGAGCAATGTTTAAAGAATTGTGCTTAGCATATTGTGATTTTATTAAAAGGGAAAAGGTTCATGTTTAAAAGAATTAACTTCTTGGTATTACTAAAAATAATTGTATATTATCTGGTTCATGATTGTGGATTGTAGAACTACGTGTGGCTTGACCCCTCAGTAAAGACACGTAGGTAGTCTGGGGCCTTACCTAGGTGCAGCCACAAGATCAAGTATATTTTTTTTAACTTTACTTTGGTCACTAAGGTTATATCCTATTTAATAGTTTAATTGAGCTTGGTTTGGATTTTGTCGGGGAGCCCGAAGCCTAGCTGAGGTGGGATTAAATGATTGGTTATATTTCAGTATTACTGAATAGTTGTGGTTAAAAGACATTTGTAGTCTTGTTGAGTCCGAAACTCATTGGAATATATGTTCAATCCTTGTCTGAGTTTTTAGAAATTCTCTATCATTACCCGTACTAGGGTATGGTTGTGAGGCCGAAGGCCATCTTTGTAAGCTACATGAATTTACCTTGTGCATGCTATTGGTTGGTGATATTAAATTGTGTGTTTTTTTTTAAACATGTTGAAATTTTGGGAAAAGATCAATTTAGCGAGGAGACTGTCGAATTTTCGATAGAAAGTCTTGGTTTTTAGTAAGTGAGCCCAACATCAGAATGATGTCGAAACTTTCACGGGATTCGGAGCAGGTCTTGTCAACAACCTTCCTTGGAACGTGTAAAAGTGATCATCATCGTAACAAACGGTGCTGAGGGAGGACACTGCTAGATAAAATAAAGCACCAATTGGCCTCCTCTCTATCAAGAACATGAATGCCCAATCCTCCAATTCCTATGAGAATAGGAACTGACAATAATGCACCAAAAAACTTAACCCGCCATCTGGTTGCCTCTGTGTGAAAAAAATAATTTAGAAGAGAATGTCCGACAAGATTTAAAAAAGGTCCAGTAACAGGAGCTCCATAGTAAAAGCAGAGCAGTATCAGGACAACAGCAAGTACTTTATTTTTAGGAACTAAGTCCCCAAAACCAATGGAGGTTAGTGTGATAATGGCAAATTAGGCCTCGTCTATAAGGCCTCTATTCTCCTTGGTTGTCTTTGAAGTCGTATTGTGGTCAGATATCTTCGGCTTGTAAAAACGATTAAAATGCAGTAATAGTGACCACAATACGACTTCAAACACAACCAGAGAGAATAGAGACCTTATAGACGGGGCCTATTTTGCCGTTATCATGCTAACCTCCGTTGGTTTTGGGGGACTTAGTTCCTAAAAATAAAGTACTTGTTGTTGTCCTGAAACTGATCTGCTTTTACTATCGAGCACCTGTTACTGGACTTTTTTTAGATCTTGTCGGACATTCTCTTCTAGATTATTTTTTTTCACATAGTCAACCAGATGGGGTGTTAAGTTTTTTGGTGCGTTACTGTTAGTTCCTATTCTCATAGGAATTGGAAGATTAGGCATTCATGTTCTTGATAGAGAGGAGGCCAATTGGTGCTTCATTTTATCTGACAGTGTCCTCCCTCAGCATCGTTGGTTATGGTGATGATCACTTTTACACGTTCTGAGGGGTAAAATCTTATAATCGAAAGAGAGAGAGAGAGAGAGAGAGAGAAACTTACCTGATGAGAGCTCAAAGAGTAAGATTTTTTATTATGATCAGTAAAAGCGAGGAGGGTGTAAAATCTTATAATCGAAACAAAGAGAGAAAAGTAATAAATAATAAAAATAGGCAGGCACAGGCCCAGCCAGTCTTAAGCGCAATGGAGACTGGCCCAATGGTAAATCCAAGGCTGATGTCCTCCAAGATCTAGAGAGCGGAGAAGATCCTACAACGAAACCACCGTAGGAAAGCCTCCGACATTGGTCATCCACAATCCAACGTCGGTCATCCATCATCCCTCTGGAGGGCGAAGGAGATCCAGAATGAAACCTCCGCCAACGATCCCCCACTATCCCAACAATTGACTTGTATATTTGGAAAGCTGAGAAGATCCGTCATCCACCATCCCTCTGGAAGGCGGAGGAGAAGCACAACAAGTAAGCCTCCTTATTAGAAGTGGAAGCGGGGATTAAGATCGCGGTGTCTTCTTCTTGCACTAGTTCGACTTCGGCTCCGACAACCATAATATCAGAGTTGAGAAGTGTTTGTGGGTGCATTTCTTTGTGTTTAAGAGCATCCACAATGGACTCCCAAAACCATCTCCTTAGATAAAATTCAGGGAGGAAGTAAGAAAACCTACATCCAACCATGCTCCCTATCCAGCTCTTAAAATAGGGAGACCTCTAGGAGCTCCTAAATTTGATAAGAGAGAATGAACTCCTAGTGGCTCCTTATAATTTAATGCTACCCTATTTAATGAATATTTTAAAACCTTTAATCAATATTATCTATTTTTATATTATTTTTTCATAGAGATGGACCATTTATGTTAAATTAAAATATAATTCTAGCATTTCTGACTCCCTAAACTAGAGAGTATGATTGAAGTTGAAATTGCATAGAGAGCTCTTAAAATAACTTTTGTGTGTTTTTAGCTAAATTTTAACTAAAAAATAGAGAGCATGATTATAGATGCTCTAACTTGAACCGGAGCAGGTAAAGCTGATTGAATAAGTTACACTCCATACTTGGATAGATAGTTAGTTAATGTAAAATCTGCAAAATTCAATTAATGTATCAATGATTAGAAAATGATCAATTATTTCACTTACGTTTTATTAGAGTTGAATATAGTGAGTATGGTGTAGTTATTAAAATTACATTTGTTTCACAATTCAATATATCATTTTTGGTCATTTTATATTATGATAAATTTGTAATTCAATAAATAGTTCGGTAGTAAGATGTACTGAGTTAATTTTAAGTTTCATTTAAAAGTATAACTACAAAAATAGCATCTCTCAAAGAAAAAAAGGAAAAAAAACATAAATACGCATAAATATGAACTACAGCGACGACAACAAGAATAATACTAATGGGAAAATTTTCAAACTCTTGAAAAGATCAAAGTAGAGTTTCCTAGTTTTGAAAACACATAAAATATGAACAATTGGGGAATAACAAATAGTGTGATGATTCCCTTCATGCTTTATATAACCTGTTTCACCTATTAACCAACCATTTGCATGATATATTAGAAGAACAAACTACAAATGTTAATGCTTGTTGGAATTGATATGTATAGTAAAATAGAGATTTGAATTAATCTCTCCCTTGATAAATAAAGAACGTGGAGGAGAAAATGAACAAAAAAAGAATAAGAATAATTGCTATGATGTGCTAAGCAATCAGCAAACCTTGTGTTACGTTTTTGAAATTTCAAGAGGCCCTAGTCAAAGCTTATGTGGAAACGTTTGGCTATTGTCTTATGCCGCCTCCAAGCCCCTATTTTTAACACACAATCATCCCATGAATAACAACGGCTGTTGACAACAATAGGTTACTGCATTTTATACCTTTTTATTTGGTGCTCCGCCTAAGGAGTGCTTCTTGGGTCTGACGGTCCGACCAATTCATCTGTGTGACTATATTCACAAGCACTTATAAGACTCAAATACAGAAATTTATGTACTTGTGAGTATAGTTAGACGGATGAGTTGATCCAACTGTTGAACTCAAAGAATTTTTCCCACCCAAGGTTTCTTTTATTTACACGGTTGAAGACAGGAAGTTGCATATAACAATCGAATTTCTACCTTTTGTTTAATAACATAGTACCATGGATTATGCTTGATGCCAATTGGGTGGCTGTGTCCATGCCTAATTTGACTAAAACAAAGCAAAAACAAAAAAGATTTGAAACTTTTATTGGTAAATCATAAATTTCTTTGACTCACTCAAAAAATTTACATCTTCCTTGGCATTTTTCACAATATAGATTTTTCGTCTCTTTTTCCCCCTAATCAAATGAATATAGGGATCTATGCCTCCTCCAAAAGTTGCGTTTTAGTAGGGCAATGGCATAAAGGAATATTATAATTACAGTAACGTCCCGATCCGGTTCACCGATTTCGGTTTCAACAGCTGCCTTGGAAGTGCGCGTAGCGTTTATATTGATATGCAAATAGACCAAACCAAAACCCGTTTCAAAGATAAACAACTTGTGGCATCCATCAAACACGTAATACTCCCAAAACACAAAATTGTTTTGATGCAAAACAGCTTCAATATTTAATAACATCTAGTCTCATTGAGCTTCAGCTTTGTAACTAGCTTTCTCCTCCTAGATTTCCATTTCTTTTGAGACTAGTCTTCTCAGGTCAGATTTCTTGATTGCTAAGCAAATACAGCAAATTCTTGTTAAATTTCTGTGAACCCTTCTGCTAAATTTAGTTAAAGAAGCCAAATTTCTGGTATTTGAGAGCACCCATTTATTTGGTTTTGCAGAAAGAAGCGAAATTTATTAAATCTGTGAAAGCCCATTTGTTTGGTTTAAGTGTTTGATAATTTTGTACTTGATTTTGTGTCTCAGGGCAGATGGAGATTGACAAGGCAATCACGGAGTGTGATGATCGAAGGCTCAAGACGAAGTACAGCAACGCTATCTATGTTATTCAGAGAACTCTTGCGCTGTACTCGTAAGTTCTTCTGTGTTCCCATCTGGGCATTGTTTGTTTTTGTAACTTTTCCAGCTTCTGGCATTTGTTCTAAACTGGATGCGGTGGTTTTTTGGGTCAATGCCTTCATCTTAATAGCTTAATATTGTAGGGATTAGAAAAGGAGATGGAGTTTTGAATTTTATGCTTCGGGTTGTTTAGATTTTAAGTAATATGTAGGCCGTTCAAACCGAATCAATTAGTTGTAAGCAGGACCAGCTTAACGGTGGGTTTTGTTCATTTTCATCTTCCATATAAACGAAGCTGATCAAAATCATTTTTTGTTCTTATTTTTACTACATTTTCTCAGACATTAAATGAATTGAGCTAAAACCACTGTATCAATTACACTGTGACAATATTTCTGCTCCTTCTCAAGTTTGCTATAATTGGTTTACTCTCCCCTGTATATATTTCATTTTGAACTCAATGCAGTTACTGAAGTGTTGTTTCTGATTTTTAACATGTTTAGGTTTGCATCATGTAATGCTCTTACTGTGAGGTGCTTTAAACCTAAAATAGTAAAAGACAAAATCAAATTGGTTGATTAGTTGATTCCTGATACTGTCGTGATTGGCAAATACTTAGATATTGATGTGTGGAAGTATCTTGTAAAATACTTATTTGAATCTGAGTGATGGATTTGAATCTCAGTTAACGGTACTCTGCTTTTCCTTGTCAGTACTTGTCCGGTTTGTCGCTATCCCTTTAAGATTCTTTAGATGTATACACCACGTGTTGATGGCGATCTGGGCACTATGAGCCAGACTAGGCTTGCAAATTTCTTTATGGATTTTGCATATATGTCATTCTTATCTGGAAAGATATTCCTACCAAAAGGTCTTAAATTACACCACCCTTGAATTTTTCTTTGTGCAAAATACTCTTTCCTAACTTGACGACAAACATTAATTTAAAGACCATTAGATGTTTCATTATTACATACAAGATGGTTCAAATGAAACATTGTGGGAGAATAATAATATAATAAATCAAATAAGTAAATGCACTTGAGGTGCTCCTGCTCTCTTGATACCTTAGAGTTTGGAATTTCACATTCGAACGCTGCTGTTGAAACATCGAGATTTGACTAGTCATGCTCCTTAGTCTGCATGCAAGTACTAAATTGTTTTCATCAACAGAATTGAGGAGGTCGCCTTCAGCTTTAATGGGGGAAAGGATTCAACTGTAAGTTTTTAAGTGATTTTTCGTGGCTTATCTATCAGTTACCTTCTGTGTCATTGATAAATATTAATAACTTCGTTCTGTAGGTTTTGCTGCACCTACTTAGGGCTGGCTACTTTTTGCATAAGGGGGAGAAAAGCTGTTCTAATGGTGATGTAAAAGACTTTCCAATCCGAACAATATATTTTGAGTCCCCGTCTGCTTTCCCCGAGATCAACTCTTTTACTTATGATACGGCCACTACGTGAGAGATGCTCCCCTTCTTACCTTTTTTTTCCCTTTTTGTTTATTTCTGTCTTTAAATGTCATTGTATGATCATAAAATTTCTAGTTTTAGCAAGATTATAAGAATGCATTTGTTTAAATTTATTAACTTTTAAGCCTATGAAATGTTGTAGCCTTCAATTGACATTCTTATTTAAGCAGCTATGGTTTGCAACTGGATATCATTCGCTCAGATTTCAAGTCTGGCTTGGAGGCTTTACTTAATGCGAAACCAATCAAAGCTATTTTCCTTGGTGTCCGAATGGGTGATCCTACTGCGGTACTTTGATTTTCTATATCAGCAAAGTCACAATCATATCGTAGACATATCTCTGGCTATCAGATTATCTTCCAGAGTTTTGTGACAAAGATGCCTAAACTTTTGTGAGATTTACAATCTTGTAGGTTGGTCAAGAACAGTTCTCTCCTAGTTCACTTGGATGGCCACCTTTCATGAGGGTGAATCCTATATTGGATTGGTCATACAGGTATTCATTTACCATATGCTCTGTCTTCTATTTTCTTTATTTTTGGCAAATGGTAAGGGCTGTTAGAGAAAAAGTTCATTTCTACTTGAAAAGTGCATTTCTGTCGTTTTCAATATGGCTGGAGGAATCATCATCTCTTCATGACAATCAGAATGGGGCTTTAAAAGTGTTTCTAATACCATATATCTGTCAAATTCCTTCAGCTTCTGAGCGCATCATACCTAACTTTTTGCCTAAATTCCATGCTAAGATTGATCCTTTTGCACTGGACTACTTTGTTTGGTTTTTATATCTCTATGAATGTTTATGCTGATTGTAATGGAGAGGAAATGGTTGATCCACTTAATCTGAACTTTTGAGGGGTTTAACTTCCATGTGTTTCATTGCAGAGATGTGTGGGCTTTTCTCTTAACTTGCAAAATTCCCTACTGCAGTCTATATGATCAAGGGTAATACTTTCTCTATGTGGCTTGAACTGTTGCTTTGGTTCTTGGCTTTTCTCAGTGCTCACAAGACTTTTGACTGTTACAAGTTGGTTATTGATGCAGATATTGTCACATGTCATTTGATTTCACTCTTCTGTTATACTCGTTTAGTCATGTTCGGCTAATTGGTTTCTGTTATTTTCTTTGTTCTCACAGTTACACTTCAATTGGAAGCATCTATGACACAGTTCCAAATGCATTATTGTGCATTAACAAGTCCTCCGGCAGCAAAGAAGTATTTAGACCTGCATATTTGCTTTCTGATGGAAGATTAGAGAGAGCTGGGAGAGTTAAAAAACTTCCTTCGTCAGTTAGTGGGCATAACCCTGCTGTTATCAATGGCCTTGACAATGTGGACTTGCATAAGAGTAGCCTACTCACGGCCTCGGCCATTGCTGTGGGAGATGAGATTTTGTAAGTCATTGTTGGTGATTTTGTAAGTCATTGTTGGTATTACTTACTTTTATTGCAATCAATATCCATAATTGTATTGTTCTGAGTGTAATGGTCCTGTATACATTGGATGTGCCATGATATCAATGATGAGTGATTACTCGTTTAAATTTCAGGCCTTTTTTTAGACTTTCAATAGAAACCATTTCTTCAACTCTTGATCTTCTTTTGTATTTAGTAACCTTCATCTAGAAGAAAAAAAAAGGGTCTTTCTTCTTGAGGAAAAGGGGGGCAGGGTGGTTTAGTTTCATTAGCCAGCCATTTAGGTTTTGTCCTTTCTTTTTGGTGCTTTTGTTCAATATCTTCAGATTTATTGTTTTTTGTTGTATTTTTCCTGGATTCATGATTCTTACGTGTAAATATCTTTCATTATCTCGTGGTTTAAGGCTAAACAATCACAAATTGTTTCAAAATTATGGTTATACCCTTGCGAAATTGGATTTTTGCACTTCGAGTTAACTTTTGTAGTGATCAAGCCACGTTACATGATCATTTTTTTTCTTTTATTTTTAATTATCACGTATGCAAA